TAGACCTTGTAGACACATTCTAAGATAAAGAGAAAGTTATTGCACCTGGGCTCTCCAGCCACCAAGAAAGAAGCACAATGTTTGGTGTTCCTTAAAGAAACACAATGTTTATTGTGTTCCACCTTGGATTCTGGAAAAAGAACATCCTCATTTCAACCCGTATACCAAGTGATTCAGAAAGGTTCTGGCTTTCAGTAGTGCCTCTAATAGGAAAAGGTTTTTCAACAGGATCCAATAGACTCAGTGGCACATTGGGATGATATTTGGATTCTTAGACAGGCTCTTCCTTAAAAAATGAATTACAGAAGAGGTTTTTGGGATTATGGAGCAGTGACCTAACTATCATCTGCAGACAATTGTTTTCTTTTTGAGAGACAGCTTATGGCCTGCTACTGGTCCTTAATGAAAAAATGAGCATTTAACAGTGCTCTACCTGGTTACCATGCGATCTGAGCTTTCCACCATGATGAGGATAGTATCTGACTCATCCAGCCGTAACCTAGGGCATGAACAGCAGTAATCCATTATCAAATAGAAGTGAAAGCTATTGTCTCATGAATTGTATCCTATGATTGGTTGACTGAGGAATAGAAGACGAGGGTCTGGTACACTGTTACGAAGACGTCACCCAGAAGTTCGAGAGGCACATTATAGCACCTCTCTTTAACATCCCTGAAAGATGCTGGTAAAGGCAAATGTTCACAGTGGGAAGTTCAGGTAGTACATACGGTTGTACATTTTGTTTGCAAGGTGAAATAACCAGATGTCCAGTTGTTCACTGATTGATGGGCTGTGGTCAGTGGATTAGCTGGATTGTCAGCGACTTACAAAGAGCCGAATTGTGGAAAATTAGTGAAAAAGATTATCTGGTGAAGTATGTGGATAGATCTCTCCAAATATGTAAGGGTATGAAGACACTTGTGGTCCTTATAAATGCTCATTGAAAGGGGACTTCAGCTGCCGAGTTTAGTAATCAAGTAGATAGATGACCTCTTTGATCATTCAGACTCTATCCAGCCATCCCTGCCATTGCCTGATTGGCCCATGAATACCGTGGCCATGGCAGCAGAAGCGGAGAGAATGTATACATTATAACCTGGACTTCTGCTCACCAATGCTGACCTGGCTACAGCTGCTGCTGAGATCTGCCAACAGCAGAGACCAATTCTGAGTCCCTGATACGGCACCATTCCCCAAAGTGATCAGCCAGCGGCCTGGTGACAGGATTACTACATTGGGCCTTTTCCTTCATGGAACAGACAGTGCTTTGCCCTTACTGAAGTAGATACTTATTCTGGTTTTGGATTTATCATTCCTGTGTGTAATTTTCTGCCTAAACTACCATGCCTTATCCATGGTCACAGATTTCACACATTATTTCTTCTGACCAAGGATATTACTTCACAGGCAGAGAAGTGCAGCAGTGGGCCTAGGCTCATGGAACTCACTGATCTTACCCTGTTGGCCACCCTCTTAAAGAGCTGGTATGATAGAACCATGGAATGGCCTTCTGAAGACACAGTCACAGGGCCAGTTTTAGGAGCCTAGAGGGCTGGGCTAGGATTCTCCAGAAGGTAGTATAATTTTTTAAATTTATATTCATTATATGGTAAAGTTTCTCCCACAGGCAGGATCCACAGGTCCAGTAATTAAGGGGTATTAAAGTGATAGTTATTAGCAGTGATAATAGTTTCAATGATTATCACCAGTAGTTACACACCAGGAAAACTTGTGCTTTCTGTTCCCATGACCTTGAGTTATGCTGGCCTAAAAGTTTTGGTTCCATAATGGGAAGTGTTTCTACCAGGAGATTCAATGAACTGGAACCTCAGACTTCCCCTTGGCCATTTAATGCTCTTAAGCCAACAGGGTAAGAAAGGAATAACAGTGTTAGGTAGAGTGATTGATCCAGACTCACAGGGAGAAATTAGGTTGCTTCTTAACATTGGAGGTAGGAAGATTGTTTCTGGAGGAAAGAAGATCCTTTGGGGTATCTCTTGGTTCTGCTGTGTCCTCTGGTTATAAACTCAGTGGTAATCTACAACATTCTCATCCATCCAGGATGACAAATGGCACATATTCTTCTGAAATGAAGGTATGGATCACTCCTGTAGGAAAAGAGTCAAGATTTACTTAGGTGCTTGCTGAGGGTAGAGGAAATAGAGAACGGGTAGTAGAGGACAGATGTTAATTATCAGCTAAGACCATGTGACCAGTTGCAGAAATGATGATTACAATTGATGAGTGTTTCTGTAGTATTTTATTAAGAATGTTTGTACCTAAATATGTGTGTGTATTAAGCTGATATTCGTGTTTTTGTCCTGTATGACTTTAGTGTATAATGTGACGTCAATTGAGATATTGTCAGTGACTATTATATTTAAATTATAAGATATTGAAGAATGCCCCTCAAGGGAATTTGTCACCTATTTTAAATATATAATGTGTTTGCTATTGTACATGGGATAGTCATGTCATATTGGGCATAATTATGAATTGTTTATTTTCCTTTGGAAATTAAGGAAGGCATAGGAGATATGATTGAGTGTCATTGACAAAGGGTATATTTATGATGGCTAATTTTGGTTATCAAGCTGACTACATCTGGACTAAGCTAAAACCCAAGCAGCTGGCCTCACCTGTGTGGGATTTTTCTTGATTGGATCATTTGACCTGAGAAGACCCACTCCAAATCTGGATCATTTAATGTATGAAGACCTATCCTAAATCTAAGCCACACCTTTTGTGGCAGCCTCTATAAAAGGACATGGAAGAAGGAAGTTCTTTGCTGTTGCCCGTTTTCCCTCCCTCAGTCTTGTTGGCAATGTATCCTGCTGCTGAGGCAGTCCTTGCTGATATTAGAGCCTGTTTCTGTGGGATTCCAACCTATACTGAAGACCAACCAAGACGTCTGGCCTTGGGGACTGAACAACTGTTGAAAACTTAGAATTTCCATCAGGAGACAGCCATTTCTTAGTGTATTAAATTTGTGGGGATAAGAACTCTACAGGAAGACCAACATAGTCAACTAACCCTTTTGGGCTTTCAGAGTCTGAGCACCTACCAAAGAAAATATATAGGCAGGACCTAGGCTTCTGTAGGGAAGCTTGGTCTTCACGTGGATCCTGAAAACTAGAAAGGGGAGTATCCCAAATGCAGTTATCTGTACATGGGATATGTTCTTCTAGCTGGGTGGCCTTGTCTGGCCTCAGAGGGAGAGGAAGCTTGAAAAGGCTTGGTGTGCCAGAGTGGATGGATACCTAGAGGGTACCCCACCAACTCAGAGGAGAAGGAAATGGGAGGATGGGGAAAGGATTGTGGGAGGGGGTGACCAAGAGGCAGAGAGTGAGCAGAATATAAAGTGAATAAGTAAAAAAATAAAACTAAATTAAAAAAAAAAGAAACAAAGAAAATTTGTTTTTACTGAAAACCTCATCAATGTTTTTGCTTTCAGCCACAAAGTTATTGAATGGAATCAGTATGCTTTACTATATTCATTCTAATATTTACTATTTCTGTTATTTTTCCTACATTCATAATGCTCTCCTCTTTTTATCGTTTTTCCACCTGTTTGAAGATTTTCTTTCCCACGTCCTTTTAGTTGCATTTATCGTCTGTGAATTCATCCCTTCAAATGAGAGTGCCTTTTTGTTTCAATGTCATTAAAAGAGGTCACGATTAGACAGCCATGTTGGTGAGATTTTAGGGGTGTGGCCTCTGCCATCACCTGATGATAGAGTCTCACAGCAGACTCCCTGTTCTGTTCCTCTGGCTCTTACAGTCTTTCTGTCCCTCCCCCACAGTATTCTCTGTACCTTAAATGCAGGAGTTGTTCTGTAGTTGTATCATTTGGGATCTTCAACTTTTCCTTTTGGTTGGTTGTGGGTTTCTGTATTGGTCTCTGTCTGTAGCAGAGATGTTTCCTTGATGACGAGTGAGGTCTACACTGATCTGTGGGTGTTATGGACAGATGTTTGGAATGTAATTAGGAGTTATTCTGGTTTAGTAAAGTGGAGGGTATCGGTTCTCCTCAGGATGGTTTTTTACCAGCACTTGTAATTTAAGTAAGCCAGTAGCTGTCTGGCTCTATTGATGTCTGACAGCTGTGACATGAACCTGTTTTATAAATTAAATGATATTTTACATATTTTCTAAGTTTACTTTATGGCTTGACTGTTTAAATAAAATTTGTGACAGCTGTTTAGTTCTTTAAGGCCATATTGCTTAGCATTTTGTAATATTTTAAGATAACTTGCAAGGTCTCAAAAGTTACACATAAGAAAAGTCAATTTCAGGTAGCATCAGAGTTCTCAGTAGAGGAAGAGATGCCTGTCTGTAATGTAATTTCCATCAAAGGTGCTTCCTGCTGTGTGCCCTTGTGCAGTGCTCAGTCACCGTCTCAGTGACTGACTTGCCCTTCTGTTGTGCATGTGCATGAAGGGTGGTGGTGCTTTAGTTTGTAACTTGCTTTGTATTTCTTTTTGTCTGCTTCCCATAGTTAATTCATTTCAAATGCCAGGAGGCATTTGTTTTTGAATGTTTCCTTTCCTGTTTGTGTTGATGGACATTTAGGTGTTTTCTGAGTTTTTGTTGTTATAGAAGATACCACAGTCAATATTTTTATGTATTTTCTTTTGCACTTGTATATGAATTTCTTTACATTGTATACCAGAGATTTTCTAGATTGTGATAGCAACGTATTTGATTTTAGTAATGTTGTTAATTTGTTCTTCACATGCTATAAACATATAATTGTAGTATTTATGAGTCTAATTGTTTTTAACAAACTCATTTTTGGAGGGGGGCTAGGCCTTTTAACCTTCTTTTACACATGGCAAATATCTTCATTTTGCAGTAGTAATTAAAAATGCTTCCACAAGTCACTAATTGACAGTAGCTTAATTAGATAAGTACTCCTTAAAGTAATAGCATTACTTTTGCTTTTATTTATGCATTTCTCCTTTATTTCTTAATTGATTATGAGTTCTCTTGTTTTGTAGCTTTGGTTGAAGAAGTATATTTTGCACAGCGAGAACGTGATGAAGCTATTATGTGCAGACTGCAGTTAGCCCTTGAGGAGAGAGATGAAGCCGTTGCACGTGTGAAACATATGGAAATGTCACTAAAAATGTGCGTATACATTTAAAATTGTAATATCAGGAACATTATAAAGTCTGTGTTGGTTTGAATATGCTTGTCCCACTGAATGGCACCATTAGGAGATGTGACTTTGTTGGAGTAGGTGTGGCCTTGTTGGAGGAGGTGTGGCCTTGTTGGAGTAGGTGTGGCCTTGTTGGAGGAGGTGTGGCCTTGTTGGAGGAAGTGTGTCACTGTGAGGGTAGGCTTTGAGACTCTCCTCCTAGCTGCCTGGAAGATAGCCTCTCCTGGCTGCAGCTGGATCAAATTGCAGAACTTTCAACTCTTTCTCCAGCACAATTTCTGCCTGGACACTGCCATGATGATAGTGGACTGAACTTCTGAAACTGTAAGCCAACCACAATTAAATGTTGTCCTTTATGAGAGTTACGTTGGTCCTGGTGTTTGGTGGGTTTTTTTGTTGTTGTTGTTGTTGTTTTTTCAGCAATGGAAACCCTAACTAAGCCAAAAGTGTATGGATTCATGTGGTAGTAACGTAGGCACATGTGATTCTTGCTATCACATAAGGACAATTCCTATCTATATGATAGTTTTCTAAAATTTAGGCATGCTTGTAGTTTGCCTGACAGGGATGATAATGAGATTTTTAGAAAGAAAAGGGAAATTCATATTGTCAGCATATTTACTCCTTTAGAACTCTGCTGTCAGTGTTCTTATCCTACCTTCCCATGTTACTCTTCTCAGTTCCTCCCATTTGTATCAAGGTGTTTTATTTGTTTGCTTGTACACCGTGGTTAGGGATGGGAGCTTGTGTCTGCTTCACCCTTTCAAGCACTGGGACCCTGTTTGGCTTGATCCTGTCCAGGCCCTGTGCATGTTCCCATAGTTTGTGAGTTCATATATATGTTAGTTCTGTCGTGTCTGGACACCGTTAGCCGTATTTTGAACGTTCACAACACAATACAATTGAGTCAGAGAGGCTGTATTTTTGGTAACTTGGTTGATTCTATTAGATAAATAAGACCACATTTAGAAATTCTAGATGTACTATTTACATTTTGATATATAAAAACAATGTATTACTTTACTTAATTTTTTTACTTGTGTTGAGGTAGGAGGAGTAATAGAAGGCATGGAGGAGGCATGCGCTTGTACATGTGACCACATCTGTGTGATGGGCAGAAGACAACTTTTAGGAATTGGTTTTCCCCTTCTACTATAGTGGTCCTTGGGATTTCACATTTTTTTTTTTAATGACTGTGATATTTTATGGATCTTAAATGTCTGCCTCCAAAGACCCATGTATTAAAGGATTGGTTTCCATTCTGTGGCAGTATGGGGAGGTGATGAAACCTTTCAGAGCTCTGGATTACTAGAGGGTGAGGTCACTTGGGTATATGCCACCAAAGGAAACACTGGGAGCCAGTCCTTTCCCCCTCTGTCTTTGTTCCCTCGTTACTCTATGGTCTGCAGCTTGTATCTCCACATGCTTCTTGTTGTCATGGACTTCCTCACTGGAGCCAAAGCAACAGAGCCATACGATTTTGACCTGAAACCTCTGAAATTATGGCCAAAATAAGCCATAGCCTCTTGTAAATTGATTGCCTTGCCTCAAGTATTTAGTCAGTGTCTGAAAGCTGAGTAACAGTCTAGGTGATACTCTTCATCCTTTTAGCTGGCAGTAAATACCTCATGTTGTAAGAGTCTGTGATTCACAAAGAGTGATATTCCAGACTCAAATAGTTCATAACATCTAAGAGCATTTATTCTGCAGAGAACCTACATTTAGGAGTCCACCACACATCCGGATGGAAGAACAGAGGTGTGGACTTTCAGGGTCAATTTAAAGCCTGGTAGAGCAGGAGTGAGTGACTTTTGCCTCTCTTTCCTTTGATTGGTTGACTCTGTCTCCAGGGGTATTGGTGCCTTTGTGATGGATTATGACTCTGGGGGACTTGAGGAACTTTTGATTACGCTTGGCTCAAGCTAGGCGGTGAGCCACCTTCGACAGACCCGATTGACTGCCTGTGAGGTTGGCTCAGGCTAGTTGTGGGCAGCTTTCTGAGTGGCTGCTCATGAGGGGTGGTTTTTTTCTGGAATTGACTTCTGTTGGACTTTTCCAGTTCTGGAAACAGAAACTTGTGCCTGGTCTCCCAAACCCCCAATTTCCACCCTGTCTTGGAGTCAGCCTGGCACTGGGTGACTCGGTCCCTTCAGTCTATCTTGGCTATTGCGAATAATTGCACAACAAGCAGAGGAATGTAGTTATCTTTGATATATTCATTGCATATGTATATTCAAAAGTAGATAGTTGGATGATACAATAATTATATTCTTTAGATTCCTCACCAGTGTCCTCTATAATTGATATATTGATTTATGACCTACCAGTGTAGGCTCTCATAGTTTTCTGCATCTCACTTGCAATTGTTTTTTCCATTTTTGATTGGGATGAGCTGTCTCACTGAGGATTCCATCTGTATTCTCTGTTTTCTAGTAACGCTCCTCGGTTTCTCATGTACCCTATCACCATCTTAACCCATAAATCAACCTTGTTCCCAACACTGCCTCCTTGTTTATCTGTTTAAATATAAACAAAGTCATCTGCAAGAATAGGTGCTATATTGGTTTCTCTATAAATTTAATTTTATAAAAGTCTTGTTATTTGCTACATACAGGTTTATTTGAGAGAAAGTGTGGTGTAGAAGCTAAGAGCAACCATTCTGGAACCGGTGATGTGTCCTTAAAGCTTAGGTTTGTTCCTTCCTTGCTGTTTACCTACAGTATGATCAAATTACATAGGGTCTCTGGGACTCAGTTACTGGTGCCTCAGATATATAGAATAGAGCCTGCATGATATAAGTTGTTACTTGTTACGGGATCACAGTTCACAGAGGATAAATATTCTCATTTCAAAGGGAGGATCAGGGGGATGGCAAGAGTAGACTGTAAAAAGAAAGACTTATACCCAGCAGGGCAACCATTAAATTCTGAAGCTCTGAGTTTGGCACCCAGGGTGTATGGCTTCAAGATAGGACTTCTGATTGGGCTTCAGTTGATCTGTGTTTATGGTTATTTTAGCTACTTTACTAATTGCTGTGAAAGAAATGCCTGACAAAAGCAAATTAAAGACAGAAGGTGTTATTTGATCTTATAATTTGATAGGCTACAGTCTATTATGGTGGGGGAAGTGTGATGCTGAGATCGTGAGGCGGCTGGTCACATGGCATTGACAGTCTGTAGAGAAAGATGAATGCTGACGCTCACCTCACTGTCTTCTTTTCATTCAGCCAGAGACCTCATGCGCGTGATCGGGGCATGCTGAGGCTCTGTCATACCACCTCAGTTAAGCCTATCTAGAAAATGCTTCATAGCATTTACAGAGGCTAGTTGTCCAGGTGACTTTAAATCCTGTTAGGTCCACATTCAATATTAACCACCACAGTAGTCCTGCAGCTCGCAGCACACATGGCCACTCTGTTGAGTTGTCCCCATGCAGTGACTACAGCTTTCTTTTGCAGATCTCTAGTGTTCCTGGAATTGCAGCATTCTGGGTTCTCTGTTTTAACTGGCTTTACCTACATCGATTCTCATATGGGCTCCTTAGAAGCTTATTGCAAAGATGCAATGGAGCTACAGGTGTCTTAGCTTCTCAAGCTTTCTCAGAAGTCTCCATCCAAGTCTCTGTGTTACATGGCTTTTCCTAGATGTGAACAAATGTCCAGTCACCCCAGATAGGGCCCTGACCACAACCAAAGAAACAGTTCCGCCCATGCAGACCACAGAGAGTGAACCAGTCAGTTTCTTGGTGTTAGTTATGCCACAACATAAAAGAATGTGGATGACACAAAGACAGCTACATAACTAATAAGCTGTCCCAGCACGGTTGGGGACTTCTGGAAGCGACACCCTGGAACTGTCTGTACAGCCTATTTGTAGTCCAGCTTATTTGACATTCTCCTCTCCCTTACAGCCATTACTGCTTCTAAAGCCTTAGCGGGTAGATCTGTGAGTCCAGTGCATCTCACTGACTTCCCAAGGGTTTTGTGCCTAGCTCCAGAAGGGAGTACTGCTGTTCTGAGGACATAGCTACAAAATACTCAAGGACCCTGTTTTAGTTTGGATTTTACTGCTATGAAAGAGATACCACAATCAAGGCAACTCTTATAAGGACAACATTTAATTGGGGCTGGCTTACAGGTTCAGAGGTTCAGTCCATTGTCATCAAGGCAGGAAACATGGCAGCCTCCAGGCAGACATGGCCTGGAGGAGGTGAGAGTTCTATAATTTCATCCAAAGGAGGTGAGGAGCAGACTGTCCTTAGACAGCTAGGAAGAGGGTCTCAAAGCCCACCTTCCATGGTGACACACTTCCTCCAGTGAGGCCACACCTCCTAATAGTGCCACTCTCTGGGTCAAGTATATATAAACCATCACATTCCACTTCCTGGTCATCATTGGCTTGTTCAAACACCTGATTCTATGGGGACCATACTTAGAATTGCATAATAAAAACATACATTTACTCCATTTCCAAAGTCCCTATAGTCTATAGCAATTTCAACAATGTTCAAAGTCCAAGTCTCTTCTGAGATTCATGCAGTCTCTTTATTGTAATCCTTTATCAAACCAAAATCAAAAAGCAGATCACATACCTTCATCATAATGTGATGTACAATACTATTCCAAAACATGGTGGGGGAATCCTAGACAAAAGCAAGACCAAAACCGGCTGGGAAAACTCCAAACTCTGCGTCTCCGTGTCTGATGTCCAGCTATTCTCAGCTTTACTGACTACAACACACTTCTTTCTCTTGGGTCTTTGGCTCTGAAATTACGGAATTAAAGGCATGCACAACCATGCTTGGGGTTAGGTTACATTCGTGCAGAGTTCAGCTACCCCATCAATCAGAGGTCTAACTGAGCTGGCAACAGAACTCAGTGTCTTCCACTTGATGGTGGTTTTACAGACATCCAGAATGCATAAGTTATGGGGTGTCTGGTGGTTTAAATATGATTGTTCCAGGGTGTGGCAGTATTAGGAGGTGTGACCTTGTTGGAGGAAGTGTGTCACCGTGGGGGTGGGCTTTGAGACCCTCTTCCTAGCTCCAAAAGCCTAAGAATATCATAGGTTTATTACAGTGACAAACCCACTTCTCTGCACCAGATTTCCATATTAGTGATGTCCGTGTTTCTGTGACCACCGTGCTTGATAGAATCACCCTAAGAAATCAAGAGTTTATACTGGCTGATGGTTCAGCGTGCCATACTTTGTGATAGAGAGCTGTGGAGTGTCTCAGTCCATGGAAGTGGGGGCATTTGACAGTGATGGTCACTTTGCTGCATATAGGCCTCAGAAAGCACAAGGAATGGGGTTCGAGGATAGCCTTTGAAGTTCTGTTTCCTGTGCCTTACTTAGATTAGCCTCCCCCTATGGTTCCACCGCCACCACAAACATTCTTGGGAACAAACAAAATATGAGTCCAATGGGAAACAGTTCATTCACTTTCAAAGCATGACAGCATGTGGTCTGTTTTTAGGTCTTTGAAAAGATATAAGGTACATGTCTTGTTGTCTTTTGATGTTTTCTGTATGTTGATACTCATTTATTCCATTACTATCATGAACATCTATAATTATGACATATTATCTCAGTTAAATAGAAGATGATTAGTAATTTCTCTTTCTGTAAGGAGGCTGACTAAGTATTTTTGGACTAACTCATGTTCTGTCTTACCTCCTAAACCTTGCCTTTGTAGTGCTGAAACCTTCATATACAGCAGGCAAGTGGAGGGTTGACTGCACTGTAATGTCACTTTATGAACAGATACCGATGACAGGTTGGATGTATAACATAATCATCTCATATTAAAGCCTATTATTGCACCAGGGCTTTCTTTGTACTTTTGTCAAACATAATTTTGTCATATGCTTGTGGGTTTTGTTGTAGACTAGATTGTATTGTCCCATTTATCTGTGTCTCTCTCTCTTTGCTAGTGTTATGTAGTCTTAATTTCTGAGTCTTTTATGCTTTAAATCATATTGTCCCCCAACTTTTTTTCTTACAGACTCATGTAATCATTCTGCTACTTAGACTGCCAGAAATATATTTTAAATCACTTTGCTTACATCTGTAGGGCATTTTACTAGGATCAAATGTTTTTATTTGTATCTTTTGGATACAAACTCTTTATCATTTGAGGTCATTGTTCTGATTCTTACTATTGGTCCAAGTTTCAGAAAAGAAGAAAGTAATATTGATGGATCAAAGGATAACTTAAGAAATGTGACATTTCATGCAAGGGTTTTTCACTTAGATTGCAGAGTTGTCAGTCAGAATTTGCATGGTATCTGAAATCAATTGAAACGTGAGCCTACGAACAGTTACTTCAGCAAAATTCTTAACTGATTATCAGAACTGTGTTAAGTGAGACAGCTGGAGGCATTATCACGAGTTTATAAATGATTAAAATTCTTTTGTATATTTCTAATTCTTTTGTATATTAATGAGATATCTATTGTTTGTCAACTATGTTTTATATAATGCCATTTATTACTGTAAATTTGTAATTAAACCAGAAATTTTTGTGTCATGCATGCTTCCATTAAACTCTATTAACCAAATATCATTTTTATATAAAACTGAAAACCTTATATATTTTATATGTTTCATAGTACTTCTTCTGAAAAGATAAAATGTTTAATTTTGGTGTGACAGTAAGTGATACAGTACATGGTTTATTAGTTGAAGGCCTCAGTATAACTTTTCTGAAAATAATTTTGTTGATTTCTTAATTCATCTTTAGCAGGATGATGAATGATCCCCTTCAGAATATTATGTCAGACTTATTAACTTGCATCTTATAATGTATTAACATTGAAAATCTGGTCTCACTTCTTAATATCCTGTGTGAGAAAGAGGCAATGATGGTATTATACATCTAACTTGTAATCCTGTGTCTGTACATAAAATGCTGTTACAATACTTGCCTGTTGTATATGCATGTTTCAGCACTACAAAGGCTAGATTTAAGAAATGTGTAAGCTAATCTAAAAATATTTGATCTCTTCCTCCTAATAGAAAAAAAATTTACTAATTCCTGTTCTACTTAATTTTAATTGAGATAATATCATGTCATTAACATTTGATGTCTGTAAGAAACACATCCCCAAGATTTCATAAGCAAAATAGGAACAGCAGCCCTTTCTCTTCCTAATTTAAGTACTCAGCATGTCAGACAGAGCACACAAGCCTCACTATGGCAGTTCAGGTGTATTTACTAGGACATGAAGCATCATTACATATAATTTTAGGACTGATCCCACAAATCAATTTTAAAGTCCGAAAGATAACTCTATATATCTGATAATTATTTAGCCTTTGATAAGAAATTGATTTTAACTTAAAAATTGTTCATTGCTAGCTGTAGACTTTAATACTAGACTAAATTCCATTGTCTCAAATGTTTAAAAAATGTGATGACTTATTGATTTAAAACATTTGAATTCCTTATTTCTCTCTCCTTAAAGTAACAGTTTCTCGTATTATAATACTCCCCAAACTACTGTAAATATTATATAGAAATCTCACCTACATCATGTTCTGTAAATTATCTCAGATATACAAATTGGATAACATAACTACATTATATCTTCATCTGGTTTTATATAATTCTTTGACACTAAGATTCAAGCTTATACCGTAGTAATCAAAATATTTTAAATATTACTAGAAGTCTGCCAATGTAAATCTTATCATCAATCCAGTGTCCCTTTGATTTTATGTTTAATAACTATGAAATTTTGAAGCATTCCCACCGATTTATTTTGGAAGCTACAGTGATCAGCGCATCGTCTCATTCTCGATGCAACAGCGTAGCTCTGTGCAGCACATGAGGCGGTCAGAAGTCCTCTTAGCTCACAGGAAGTGAGGGCGGTGCTGCCAGTGTTCAAGTACTTCCTCTGTGACATAAACCCCAAAAGTGTATTATAGATTTCTGCTATGATTTTTAAATTACAAAACATTAGGTAACTTTCATTTATTTTATTTTATTTTGTCAAACAAGCTCTTATTAAGCAGTATGTTTAAAATGTAGTTTATTTTGGAGAAGCTATGAAAGAGAAGACTATTGTTCTTCTGGAGATGTGAACTGAAGCAGCGTTAACGTTAGACGTCGAGAGACGCTCTTTGTGTATAATTAGTGTCACCAGATCTTACTGCTGACTCATAGCGCGCCAGTGTGTACAGACCTAGCTTTTCCTGCAATGCGTTTCTCTGTTAAATCGCTGTTTAAAAACAGCTACTTTTTCCGATTGTAGTGACTCTTTTTTTTTTATTCACTTGTGACATTTGGAACAATTTTGCAGTATACCTACCAGTTGTCTTTATTATGTTTACTGTCATCCTTTTTGTGATAAATATGAAATCCCAGAAGAGTGAACGCGGGAGGTCCTCAGAAGACAGGAGACTGAACTGTAGACTTTCTAGTTAGAATATTAAAATGAGCATCGGTGACTTTTAAGTCCCTGTCCTTTGCTAATATCCACCACAGTGCGTCCTTTAATTTACTTGAATTAATCATTGCTTAAATTCTGTTTCCAATATATCATTCAGAATGTCTTTACTGTTAGTATACTTATTTAATTCATCCATATTAACAAGCATTTCAGTAAACAATTATTATTAGAAAATGCATTTATGGAGATACGTTGTTTTTCTCTTTCAATTGAATGTTTCTATAAAATATGAAAATGGAAAAAAATACGGTCCAATATTGGTCAGCCTGTATGTTTGGTGTGTTTGTATCACAGGTTTAGCAATGCCTTTTTAGATTTAATTTAGTGTAATTATTTGTCATTGTTTGAGGGAACATGAACTTTGTAAGAAAAATGCTTGCTTTGTTTTTACGTGTGACAGTGTCCAAGGAAAGAAAGGAAATAGTTTCTGGTAAGAATTGTAAGAACAGGAATAAACATCATGATGAGAAAGAGTGCTTCTATCACTGGGGAACTGTCTTCATCTAAACACATATGAACAGTTGATCCTTGTCGTCATATACAGCAGTAAACATTAATAACTTAACAGTCTGAAGTCAGAGCAGAAGATGGAGAGCGTTATTGGAAGACGGAGCCGAGCAGGTGCCACTTTAATATGTTCAGTGTCATGGCCGACTCTAAAGACTAGGCGAATGAAATTACTCGAGGTTCTAAAGATTTAAAAAGCGAACTCATTTTGCCGCACTAAAGAAATGCTACTGATCAGGCTTTCTGTGTCCCTTTTTTCTAGGCTAGAAAATATTAACCCTGAAGAAAATGACATGGTAAGCCATTCTCTGAGGAGATTTCTTGATGTCAGTCTTATATCTTAGAGGCTTAAGTTCAATTGAGTGGGTTTCAAGAACTAAGATGTGGGAAAAAGAAGAATTGACACACTAATAATGTACATCTTTGCTGCAATATGAAAATTCAATAACTTCACTCAGTCAATTTACAATTCACATGTGCCTATTAATTAAAACCCTATATTAAATAAAATATATTAAAACCTCATGTCTGACTAACATATAATGGTGTTGGTAGACATTACAGGAATTACTGAACAGAATAAACAATGCAGACACTGGGGTAGCTATTCAGAAGAATGGAGCTGTGATTGTGGATAGAATCTGCAAGACCAAGGAGTGTAGAAAGAGGATAACTGCAGAAGAAATGAATGCAGTCCTGGAAGAGCGGGATGCGGCTTTGTCTCAGGTAACCGCGTCGACCAGAAAAACGCACAGGGGCCATTCCCTTCTCTGTTTTAAAACCCTGCAACGTGAATCCTCCCCAGATGTACAATACGTCCCTTTTAGAAAGTTTAATCATGTATAAAGACATGCATTTCCTTGCATACACACACACATACACAATTATGCTTTGTTCCTATCTCATCTCTAATTTCCACAGTTTACAGTATATAATCAATACCATAATATTTCAATATATCAAAATATTGCCATTTTGTACCACTTTTATGAATCTGCATCCTCTTTATAAGTTAGTGAATATTTTCTGGGTAAGACAGAATGTCTTATAAAATGTTAAACTGCCATAAAATCCCCTTGTCTTTTTTAGTCACTTTATATCGCATTTCATGCTTGCATTGCTCTTTTCTATGTGATAAGACTGTTTGGGTTTTGTTGTTGTTGTTGTTTGTTTTTTAGTTTTTAGTCCCAATTGCATGAGTTGTTACATTTTCATTCAAAATTAGCATATTCTTTTATGAACATACTTGGCATTTCCTGTTCTAACTCAACTCTCTCCTTCCTGTCTGAGGATTCTCAGTCCGTCACAGCCCTCTTAAGGAGTGTGAAGTTCCCCTCAGAGTTGCACCACAGGGCCTGCACCCCGATTCCTCCTTCATGTAGCTTAGTCTTGGTCCTTCTGTCCTTCCCACACACAACTTTGAAATTATGCACAAGACAATATGCTTAGCGTCCGTTGTGACTGTGCTCACTACATATGTGGTATTGCAGCCCTTGCCGGGTGACCAGTGTAGGGTCTGTCTCACCACTTTTCAGCCTACTCCTGCCAGTGTGCTAGCCTCTTAGTTCCTCTACTAATGTGTGACATGACTCTTCACTCCGTTTGCCCAGTGGCCGGTGGCCCTATCCTGCTCTTAGTATCCGTCTTCATTTTAGGCATATTCATCGACGGTCTCCAACTGTCTAGGTCATTTCCTCTGGAACTTTGATGCCTCGGTGTTTTCACCTTCATCAGTGCCTGTTTCAGTGGATCTCGCTGAGTCTGTGTTTTAAATCTCAGATTGTTTGTGTCCATTTGTCACCTCAGCTATCTTGGCTTCCTTAGCTCAGCATAATCATCACCGACTTTTGTATAACTCACGTCTCTTCTCTCTTGTCAACTAGTTTTGGCAGTTAACACTTCCTACTTCTGTATAATGTATTCTGGTTACTGACTCCTTATCTCTTCTTATCTTCCTTTAATCCCCGACTACACTGTCCACCACCATAACTTTCCCAGATTCATGACTGTGTGTGTGTGTGTGTGAGAGAGAGAGAGAGAGAGGGAGAGGGAGAGGGAGATTGATTTTAACCAGGGTTATCTGTTACAAGTGGATGGGGACTATGCACTGGAGTGTGGTGTTGGAGTCACAGTACTCTTTCTCTTAATCTGTCAATAGTCGGTATTTCAGCGATGAGGAGTGGGGCTACCTGAATGGCTTCCGCCAGAGTTTGATTGCTGAAGAGCCAGTGGTCTTGTTCAGACCAGTGCAGCCATCCACAGCTGCTCTGAGTGTCTGCTTGCACTAACTATGTCTCACTAAGAACTATTCTATTCACAGCTATCCTCCTTGGTTTCTGACTCTTCTGTTCTTTTTTTCCCATTAATTTATTTATTTATGCACTTTACATCCTGATCACAGGACCCCTTTCTCCTCCTAATCCCCTCCTCAGAAAGCCCCTCCCCATAGCCTCCCCTTCTCCAACAAGGGGGATGCCCCCTTGGGTACCAACCCTCCCTGGCACATCAAGTCACTGCAGACCAGGCACATCCTCTTCCACTGAGGTCAGACAGGTTTGGGGAACAGGATTCACAGGCGGGCAAGAGTCGGAACAGCCCTCATTCCAGTTGTTGGGGAAGTGGCATGAACATTAAGCTACACATCTGTCTCATATGTGCAGGGCCTTCGGGGTCAGTCCAGGACATTTATGCTTTTTGGTTGGTTCAGTCTCTGGCATACCCCCAGTTAGTTGACTCTGTTGGTCTTCTGTGGAATCCTATTCCTTCTGCGTCCTTCAGTCCTTCCCCTAGCTCTTCCACAGGAATCCCAAATCTCCATGTAATGTTTGGCTGTGGGTCTTTGTGTCTGTTTTGGTCAGCTGCTGGGTGGAGCCTCCTAGAGGACAGTTATGCTAGGCTCCTGTCTGCAAGCATCACAGAGTACCACTGATAGTGTCAGGGATTGGTTCAGGCCCAGGATGGGTCTCAGGTTGGGCCTGTCATTGGTTGACTCTTCCCTTGGTTTCTGCTCCATCTTTATCTCTGCACTTCTAGTAGGCAAGACACACTTTGGGGTGAAGGTTTTGCGGGTGGGTTAGTGTCCTTATCCCTCCACTAGGGGTTCTGCCTGGCTACAGGAGGGGTCCACTTCAGGCCCCATATTCCCAGAATCTAAGAATCTCAGAAGAGTCGCCCTCAGACTCCCTTGAGGCTCCCCATTCCATGTCTCTGGCATGTCCTAGAGATGCTTCACCTCCCCACTCCGCCCTGTTCAGCCCACCCACTGCCAGTTTCCATCACTCTCCATGTCGTCTTCCCTGGCTCTCCCTGCACTTCATCCCGTCCCCATTCCCCTCCCTGTCCCCTCTCCCGTCTAGTCCCTCCATCTATCCAATTCTCATGCCTGTGTTATTTCCCCTACCGAGCGGAATTCAAGCATCCTCCCTTCAGCCCTCCTTGTTACCTAGCTTCTTTGAGTCTGTGGATTGTCGTATGGTTATCCTATACTTTCTAGCTAATGCTCCCTTATAAGTGAGTACATACCATGCATGTTCTTTTGAGTCTGAGTTAACCTCATTCAGGATGATGTTGTCTAGTTCCATCCATTACCTACAAAGTTTATGATATTCTTGTTTTTAAAGCCACATAGTATTTCATTATGTAAGTGAACCATATTTTATTTATTTATTCTTCTGGTGAGAGACATCTGGGTTGTTTCCAGCTTCTGCTATTACAAATAAGCTGCAATGAACACAGTGGAGCAAGTGTACTTGAGGTCTGGTGGGGCATCTTTTGATGTACCCAAGAGTGGTATAGCTAGGACTGGATGTAGAACTATTACCAATTTTGTGAGAAACTGCCAAATTGCTTTCCACGGTGGCTGTATAAGGTTTCACTCCTACCAGCAATGTTGGAATGTTCCTCTCCAGCATGTTCTGTCCCTTGAGTTTTTTCATCTTAGCCATTCTGACGGGAATAAGGTAGGATCTCAGAGTTGTTATGGTGTATATTTCCCTGATGACTAAGCATGTTGGCATATTTTTAAGTGTTTCTTAGCCATTAGAGAATCCTCTGTTGAAAATTCTCTGTTTAATGCTGCATCACATTTTTTTTTTCAAATCGTAATTTTTACTCATTCACACAGGGGTTATAAACACAGAAAGGCAGGATGTGGGGAACGGGGTGACACTGGAGTGTGAGTTTTCAGGCTGGTAAATTGTCACAAAAGCTGCCTGTTGACATTAGCTTATAGCCATCTGTTTCAATGTTTTTCCACTGAGACCCAAGACTTGGTGTTAGTATACATGTATGACAGGCCTATTGCTGATTTTAGGCCTATGGCTGATTTTAGGCCTTCAGTGGGTAAGCAGGGCTGCCCCTGACATCTCCTCCCTTCTCTAAGTATAGAAGGGCTGTGGCGATTCTAATCTTGAGAAGGCGGGGATAGAGGCCTGACCTCCAGTAATTGAAGGGGACCTTGTAATGGCTCTGGTCCCCCTGTCGTTGTCCAGTGAGGCATGAGGGCCATACCCATCCTGATGTCTTTTTCCTGGAGAGGGGGTACTTTTGACATCAGCCCCTAGTTGCATCACATTTTTAAATTGGGTTAGTTGGTCTTTGATGTCTTAGTTCTTTATATATTTTGGATACTAGCCCTCTGTCAGATGTATAGTTGGTGAAGCTCTTTCCCCATTCTGTGGTGTACTGTTTTGTCCTATTGACTGTGTCCTTTGCCTTACAAAAACTTTTCAGTTTTATGAGGTTCGGTTTATTAATTGCTGATCTAGTGTTTGAGGTATTGATGTTCTGTTCAGGAAGTTGTTTCCTGTACCAATGCATTGAAAGCTATCCCCTACTTTGTCTTCTATTAGATTTAGTGTTTCTGGTTTTACGTTGAGGTCTTTGATCCAGTTGGACTCGAGCTTTATGCAGGGTGATAAATATGGACCTATTTGCAATCTGGCCATACCATCCTGAACAGGCCCAGTCTCATCTGATTGTGGAAGCTAAGCTGGACTGGGTCTGGTTAGTAGTTAGATGGGAGACACTTACGTTCTTTGTGCCCCCCTGATCTGCAGTGTTTCCTGAGCCTCATGGAGATGCCAGGAGTGACTAGTTTAGAGCTGAGCACTCATTCCCATGCCACTTAGTTCTCAGCACCTCATGCTTTGCAGCTGTGTTTCGTGAGAAATAGCTCAGTTTCAGTATGTTTCCTTCTTTCCTTTTTATTTCGTCTTACTCGCCAGGTAAAATGAAAACATACTTAATCTCCATTTCACAGCTTTGTGGGGCAAGGAGACTTCATACAGACTTGCAAACTGAACTGAATTCCATGAGCATTGTGAGCAAATAGGCTCTTATTGGTTTGCAATAAATACTCTTACTTTCTAGTAGTACTTTACCCTATGGGGGACATTTCACTTCTTGTCCTTTGGTGTGCCTCTACTACATTCAGAAGGAGAACTTTGCATGTCCCTAGCAACTTCAGCATCTCTGCCTCACTGCACTTTACCTGCATCCTCTATCTCTTCCCTTTACATCAGTGATTTTCAATCTGTGAATTGTGATCCCTTTGGGGGATATTTGACCCGTTGACAGGGGTCATGTAACACCATCAGAAAATACAGGTATTTACTTAATGATCCATAACAGCAGTGAAATTATGGGTAGCAATGAAAAGAGTTTTATAGTTTGGGGTCTCTATAACGTGAGGAAATGCATTAAAGGGATCTTCTTTTACTGTGTGC